ACATTTTCTGAATACGAGTGCAGGTGCAAAGACTTATCAGGTCATTTGGGACAAATATATGAATCCTATATTATATTGAAGTGAATTGCACAAATATGTGATGATCATGGTTTAATAAAGTTTAAACCGTTCATTGAAGAAAACAAATGTTTATATAAAATTAGACTTTGCCTCAGTCCTTATTACAAGTAACTGATGTGCCCTTCCTTTAGAAAGTATGCAGTATGAGGCAAAAGTATCAAAGTGGTAAATGAGGTTTCTAATATTTAATCTGTAAGAAGAAAATAACTTGTTTGTGTCGGATTATATAGTGCAGACAGAAAGGTAAAGTGTACAATCCACTACAATGGTGTCCTACAGGGCTCAACTCAATAACCCATAATAATCAATCGTACTTGTTTCATAAGCGCAAGTCCAACTAAGTTGATGATATTGTGATTGTGTGATGGATTAAACCGATCTAGAGCACAAGGGAAAAACAAACTTCTTAAATATTGGCAAAGATAACTTTTAATTTGAAAATCCTTGAAGTGTAGGATTTGCAGTGTCCTTCAAAATGTATCTTTTGAGAATAATATTGAAGACATATGTGGACACGTGGATGTATTCACTCATTTTTTTTATTTTTTTTTAACATAACAAATAGAATGCATATTGCTTTTGATATTGAGAATCTCTTATCAAGATGTAGAAACCTCCACATACTTAAATGAGTTTGAGGAGTTTAATTCCTTCTGATAGAGAGATATTATTTTATATATCATATATATATATATATATATATATATATTTATATATCATATATATATACACACACACACTGTATTATCTATCGAGAGGGAGGGGCAAGGTACCTATGTCCAGTGTAATACATTGTGTGTAGTAGGAATCTTGGTAGAGATACAGATGCAAGAAGGATGCTGGCTGGACACCCAATGCTTGAGGATAAAAAAACTTGGTTTAAAAAAACAACACACATTCTGACTTCCAGTTCTGCCACCAACTTTTGTCCACGACTCCGACGGCAGACTAAGCATCTGGCACAATTATTACTCATACCCGCCAACAAGTGACTGATATCACCCTTACAACTATTGCTCCACTTCTAGAGACAGGAGTACTCAGTAACAACCAGAGAACAGATTAACGGATGTCAAGGCCTGTGCAGTGGACCGCAAAAACCTAACTCCAGCGTTCATTTCTGCACTAAAACACCACGCCAGACCTCACAGAAACCAGTAGATACCTCCACCGAAGTGAAAGCTGAGAACTTGGACCGCACAACACGTTTGTAACTGCATTAGATACCACACTACTAGCATCTAACCCCATTGCAAATAGTCACTATCACATATTACGCCAAGCTTTGGTATATGCACAACACCAGCAGTTAGAAGCTAACTGATAATACCAAGTACTGCGTGGACCACTTTAAGTCTCTTGAGAGGGATTTTTTTCAACCTCTGGCATCTCGCTCAGTCTAGGGCAGTAGATGCTCACCTTTCTTTAAACTTTGCTCACCTTTCTTTAAACCTTGGGTGACACAATGCTGTGTGCCTCATGTAAATTGATGTTATTTTCAAGTTCTACATCATACCTGCCTGCTGATATCAACGGCTTTCCGTACCCACATAAGCATATACTTACCTGACACAACCCCTATAGAAAACTAGCACATCAAACAGCTGTGGCTGTAGTGACATAAGCCCAACACAAGTTGCATACCCTTCTCTCTAGAAAGTCTTCAAAACAGGATTATATCCATACGAGTCATAAAATTTGCAACTCCACAAACTCACAAAGCTAAATTTGACTAATTCTTTTTCCAAACTCACTGTAAATACTTTCATAGAATTTTTTTTTTTTCTGTTCCTCATTACAATTATCTACCACTGAAGCCTACTATTCATCATGCTCCTGAGAGGCAACCAAAACCTTTAATCTGTGCTTAGATCGACTTTAAATCTGATGTGTTAACAACCTTCAATAAACAAACACATACCGATCGGATCCAAGGAACCTAATTCTAACATGGGCAAACCAGTTGCTCACACAATACAGTAATCCTGCTTTGTGCAACATATTAAATTCTTGAGGGCTTAAACCTGTAACCAATTACCATATATCTTACCTTGGCCACGATTGTACTTATCGATGTGTGTTTCTCTCTCGATCCCAATCATCATATGCTGCCCTGTCACTCCTAAGCAGAAGCCTAGTTGCTTTATTGCAGGGCTACCCAGATTGGGGGTGCCACATTAAAGGTTAAAACTGCACAGGACTAACTTATCGACCTCTCATCGCATTGCATACCAATGTCCGGACGCATCTGACAGAGGTTTTGGATTGATGACCTTTTGGTACTCCTCACAGTTCTTGATGCTAATCCTCTATAATCTTTTCTCTTTCAACACCTCTCTCCCATAACTTCTCACCATCTTTCACACTCTTACTCTAACAGTCTTTTCCCTCCCTCTCACCGTTTTTTCCGTATAACTAGAACAAAACCTTTAGGATCCTTGCTTTTCTTACCCACAGTAACAGAGCAAAACCGATTGAGCAACCAGACCACATCAACTTCCGAACTGTTCACTTCTTACAACACATCACCTCTCTAACATATCTCACATTCCGATAACCTAGGACAGCACTAACTTCCTTACTTATCCTTACTCTCAATTATTTTGCTTTTCCTGCTTTCTTTCTCTCCACCATCATGGACAAATTCACCAACAAAACCCCCTCCAGAAATTATTGCAAACCTTAAAGGCCTGTCAAGAAACAACTCCGCCATCCACTCGTGCTCTCTTGCCTGTGTGCTCTGGTATGGAAATGTATCTCTCCCAACCTCTCTCAATATCTCCCATCAGAAACCGCCCAAGACGTGTCTAATCTTCTAAAACTGATCTTTTAATACCAATTTAAGGGCATTAAAAAATCTATTGATCGTGCCATCCACTTCAATCTCACTCCTACCAGTTCATCTTGCAGGAAATTAGACCGTGCACTACCGTAACCGGCTACAATCCACAATACAACAAAATACCTCAACGTGAACAAGATAAGTTAGATGATCTTGATAATGAAAATAGATTTGTGGGCTTCCCTAAAACCTGATGATATTCCCTTTATAATTCAAACCTGGTTACAGGACACTCTTCAGATTGCCACATCTCCCCCCTCCTTATTGAAGGGTTACACAGACTTGGCACAGACCGAGCCAGTAATGCCTCCAAGCCACGACTTATGATCGTGAAATTCCTAAACTTTAACAACTTCGTTCACATACTCAATCAGGCAAGCACTGTAATTTTTCCAAAACCAAGTAGAAATGTGGAGGCTTAAGCATTTTATCTCCCAATATTCCTACTTAATCCAGATCTACTCACCAAATCATGGTACTGAGAGTGCAATATTTCAACCCAAAGTACTCACAGATGACCAATTGGATTTTGTGGTCGGACAACACGGGTCCGGAAGGCATTGGTGGATGCTACCGGGGAGAAGGCTACCTCTGCTTCCCCTTCATTCATCCATAAAAGCTTTTGACAGAATAATTTGGCAACACCTGGTTCGCGTATTGAAACTACGCTGTTTCTGACACACTTTACCTAAGGATGGGTCTCCTCCCACATTGCCTCAGATGTTGCCTTTTATGTGGCAATTGGCAGCCTTAAAATACCGTAGGATTAAAATCCAAACAAACATTACCCTTCTCTACATATCCCTCACATCTATTTTTACAGAATTAGGACATTGGCAAAAATTATGCCTCACATATACAGGACAGGCAAATCCTATGTAAATTTGTTTGCTTCCAAAAATGCTATATTTCTGACAAGTAATTGCTATTCTTCTCTCAAATAAACACGAAGCCTTCTAAATAAAATACATTTTAAAAAAGTGAGACCATTTATTTGGCAGAGGCTGAGGGCCAACATGAGTTTACCTAAACTAAAACAAATGGGTGATTTAATCTCGTCAATGAAAGGGAATACAGCAGCCTAACTCCGAAATGCATTGGATTTGGATCCAATCATAAAAATGTTTTTCGAATATAGTCTTGGAATACTTTCAGGTACTGTCAGACTCCTTGCCAGCTCTTCACCACTTTCCTGACAACATCCTATCAAATCTTCTTGTGGCCGTCCCAAATAAGGATTGGAAGCTGTTCTAGATTAGGAGCCAAAACTCTATACCAGGGCTTGACAAATCCCAGGTCGCCATGGCCATTAGAAATTTGGTCTTTGTTACCCTTTCAGCGGAGGCGGCTGGGGGTGCAGTAAATTTCCTGCAGTTCATGCTCTGCTCCCTCTCACGCTGTTTAATGATGCCAGTTGCTGGAATATAAAGTCACTCCTGCCCCAGCATCACTAAACAGTCAGCAGCCCTACTAGACCCTAAGGAAAGGATCCACTCCAGTTCTCCCAAAGGTAGGGAGGCTGGGTGGACTTAAAATAATAATGTGCGAGTGTGTGAGAAAATGTGTGTCTGATTAGGTTACTGCTACCCCTCGAATTGCATGGAAAAGGTGTTTTTACTCACTTTTTTCCCCCACAACTGATCCTGCCTCCATGGCTGCGATCATGAGTCATGATGATCTCAGCCAAGCCAATGCTTTTCCATGAGGAAAGCATTGAGAGGCTATTGCGTATGGATGGCAAAATGCTGCGCAGCAGCAATCAGCATTTCCACATAGAAATACATTGAATCAGTGCAACTCTATAGGGAACATTTAGCGCTTTCATGCAGTGTGTGGAGACTAGGAATCACCTCTAGTGGATGTCTGAGTGACTGTTACTAGGCAACAATGTAAACCCTGCTTTTTCTCTGACAAATCTGTGTTTACATTGAAAAACCTACAGGGACAGGATATAAACATCAGAACCACTACATTAAGCTTTAATGGTTCTTGTGACTATAGTGTCCCTTCAAGAATTGTATTGTTGGGGGGACCTACGTGGCAGGTTGAGCATCAATATAGACATGTATATGTGGAGCTCAGTCGAAGCCCCACAACCAGAGATAAATATGGCAGAATACTGCAATTACCGAGTGCAATCTATATACGCTACCCCTCAGCAGACAACATGGGGCACAAACACAAGCGGCAATTCCAATCCGAGAGACCATAATTCCCCGACATTAAACTCTTATTTGAGCGGCCTGCACTGCCGACACCAGCCAAGATGGCGCCTAACACCACACCCAGAGAGAATAGAAGGCCTCTGAAAACTCACAGGAGTAGGGGGAACCTAGAGCTTTACCTCACTCTGGTGAAGTGTACCTCAGAACCGACTCAGATGAGGACTTGTCTCCTTCCATGAAGGAGGACATCAAGAAACTGATACGAAATGCAGCCTTACAAGAGATCCACACAGAAGTGGGCATATTACACCAGAGAGTGCTGTGAAGAAAAGCCTGCGTGGCATAACTGAAAGGGTTAATGGAGAGTACTTACTACCCTTTGTCCAGAGACTGATAGCACTATGGGCCTTAAATGTAGTACCAATACCCCACTTATATAGTCCTCCTATCAGGTGTGCAAATCAGTGGCAGTGCCTGCATAGGTCCACAGCGACATCATCGCAACTACCGGAGACATTGGGACAATCGCTATAATGAGCAAGTCTAGGTCCCTGGGAAGGTGACCTTCGAAGATTTTACGGTGTCCATATACAAAGATTTTCCCTTCTCTGTTCTGGTAGAAAGGAGAAAACTGGCACCTGTAGCCACGATTTAAGAGACCACTCTGTCAAGTACTGATGGAACCCAGAGGGACCTCTTACAATCTTGCATAAAGTACTCGCCCTTTCCTCAGCTGACGATCCAGGGACTCTATTCCAAATACTGGGCCTTCAGAATACCTTCCTGGATGAGAAAACAGCCCCTGCCGGAGGACATTCGGCTCATCCTAATTTATCCCAAGCATGAACACACATCACAAGTTCTTAGCTTGGGAGCAACCCATCTCAAAGTATTTCCTCCATGGAAAATATATTGCTGGTTATCTTGTGGAACCACAGATTGGAACATTTTTGCCATACGCTGTTTTTTATTTCTCACATGCGTTATTTTATTTTGTTTTCACAGTATAATTGCATATCGAGCTACATGTTTGAAGCTTCACATCCATTACAACATATTCCATATGTGCTTATTGCATTACCCATAATAAGGTACAGTTGTACATGATGAAAATTTTGCAATAAAATACAAATTGAAAAAAAAGGAATTGTATTTTATGTAATTGAAAATTAACTTTTGTCAGTTTAAAAAAAAACAACTGGCTCCTAACTTTTTTAGCTGGCTAAAGATTCCAAGCAAATTGTTCAAGCCATGCTCTACACTCTCTTAACGTGCCCCTAATGTGAAATCCTGATTTTCAAAATGAGTCCAATCATTATATATTGACATGGGTTAGAACATGTTTAGAAACGAATAGAAGTGAAATGGGTGTGGCGTGGGAGTGACAGACTGACGTCACATGCAGGCGTCATATAAGTTGGGAACTTGGAAAATGTAGTAGATAGAAACAAGGGCGAGATGCAAGTTGCGTCATTCCCGAAATCATAGGAGATGAGGGCGGTGCTCGAAAGAGTAATCTATAGGGAAAAGAAAGAAAGAAATCAAAGCTAGAGAAAAAGTCAATAGTAGACAAAAGTGCGCATACAGGGCCCGCCTTAGGGGTGTGCAAGCTATGCGGTCGCACAGGGCGCCATGGCAACAGGGGGCGCCGTGTGGCTGATATAACTCACATGTCTAGCTACCAGGGTGGAGGATTTCAATATTCTCCACCCGGGACTATCAACCAAAAGAACATGCCAGCAGGGGCAGAGTTTGCCGAGTGTCGGGCACGTGTCTTAATGAGTAGCGAGGGTGGGGTCTTAATTGCAGCAAGGGCGAGGCTACAAGCACCCAGCTTCACAGGAAGGGGGAAGCAGGAAGGAGTCCCTGCTTTCCCAACAACCACCAGACTCCAGGAATTGCACTGCCTCCACTCCACACAGGTAACTATTTGTGTAATTGTCTATGTGTTTAACTGTCTGCCTGTGTGTGTTTATGTAACTGTGTCTATACCTGTCTGCCTGTGTGTGACTGTTACTGTGTGTGACTGACTGGCTGTCTGCCTGTGTGTGCGTGACTGCCTTCCTGTGTGCCTGTCTGCCCTATGTGACTGTCTGCCTGTACCTGTGTGTTTCTGTCATTGTCTGCCTGCAACTGTGTGTGTTTGTTATTGTCTGCAACTGTGTGTGTATGAGACAGTCACACACACACACACACACACACACACTTGCAGGCAGATAATAACAAACACACACAGATACAGGCGGACAGTCACATAAATACTTACAGCCACAAAGACAGTCACACACACAAAGACAGTCCAACTGTGTGTGAGTGAGAGACTGTGTGCCTGTTATGGCATGTGAGTGGCTGCATGTGTGTATGACTGTCTGTATTTATGACTGTAACTGTGTGTGTATCTACCTGTAAGTGTATGTATGTGACTCTACAAAAATATACACCTGCATTTACACATAGGCCTACATGCATATTCTTATCTGAGTTAAGTACCTATCACACACAGCCAATAAACCCAGCACAAATATCACACACCGTTAATACACCCATTACAAATATCACACACAGTCAACACATAGCATACATATCACACGCAGCCATCACGCCTAACACACACACAGACAACACACACACTGAATCATATTATAGTGAGATTTATTACAGTGGAGCTCTGGCATACAAAATACACATTACTCTGTGTTTGTATAGTTGGAGAGCTCTGTGATACATTAATAGGCACAATACTGAGAGTTGTATTGTTGTGGAGCTCTGTGACAATGGGGGGGGAGGGTCGCTGCCCAGCTTTTTCGCACAGGGCGCCTAGAAGCCTAAGGTCGTCCCTGTGTGCATATAAGTGGACTGTTATATATATGGATAATATTTAACCCAAACCGGAGGACTAAATGACAAGTGCTGATAGGGCGCCATATTAGTGGAGAGGAAAAAAAAGAAAAGAAAAGGGAGGCATAAAGATGGGAGGAAGTGAAAATAGAAAAAATTACAAGCTGATATAATAATACACATAAGGCAAAGAAGTGTGTGATATAAAAGGACACTGATGAAGTTTATCATTTAAACCGAGAACAAACCAAGGAGAAGTAGTGCTAATAGGGCCTTGGGAGTCACATGCACGACCGTTACGTGCACAGCACAAATGGCGGCAATATTGGTAGAGGAAAATAAAAGTGAAATTAATAGAGTGGACAAGCAGGGATACCTCTGAGAAAATCGAAGTAGAAGAATAAATAGGAAATACAGAAAAAAGAGAAGAGTACTGAATGAAGAAGAGACAATACATATAGAAAAGTGACTAAGTGAAAAGAACGGTGATGTGAAAAATAAACTTGCGTCTGCCCTTGTTTCTATCTACTACATTTCCCAAGTTCCCCACGTATATGACGCCCACACATGACGTCAGTCTGTCACTTCCCCATCATGCCCATTTCACTTCTATTCGTTTTTAAACATGTTCTAACCCTCGTTTTCATTTGTTTTATTATTCTAAAATACACTTTTACAATATATTTTATCAATTATAAGGTTCATTTATTACTTCTTATTTATCATTATGGATCACAATTATGATCACGTGATCATGACGTCATTTTACCGCCAAATTTTATATTACCATGTATTTTACCCTATATAAGACTGTGCATGCCAGGTATTTGCGTTGTAGCCTTATTGTTATTTTTTGTTATAATAAAGGTTTTGTCCATTTTTTTCCATATGATGTGCCATATACCTCTCTTTCCTTTTGTTACCTGGCATCCTGATTTTATCTTTCCAGCGAGAACCTCACATAGTTTCCTACGTGGGGATTATACCACCTACGCTGAATACACTGAGCCGGCTATCTGCTCAGGCAAATGTGAATATAACCAACTTACTTTTACTTCTGGTTTAATATATTTTATATAGAGAGCACTATTGTTGCACTTTTTTATTTTCACATATACCCTGCTGCCAAGACATCTGCTGACCAATACCTCCCATTGATATCCCAGAAGTGGGGGATAAAATCCACTGCAAGCGCAATATACTAGAGCTGGTTTTAGCTCTATTCCATGTGAGTAGGCCATTTGTATTTCCTTTTACACAGCTTGATTTTACTTTGTTTTTGTTTTTATTCCAAATATTCTTTATTTATCTTTTTAAAATATTTACATAAAATAACAAAGACTGTACAGACATACATTAAAAACAAAACAAAGAAAAAAAAATAACATGCCAGGTTTGTAACAGTGCCCATGTTTCTATTCAGATATAGCAAACAATGTACTTTATTTAATGTATAAAATATGAAGCTGAAAAAATTGTAATCTCAGCTCAGAGTCAATCAAAACTGTTTATAGTATCATTAAATACTCAAAGTGATGAATAGGATTGTAATGCACAAATATTTAGTTTCTGTTACAACTTTGGACTTTGTACATATTTTTATTCACCCTTACTTTATCCCTTACCCCTTGGTACACCCTATTGTTTTGTATCTTTACCACTACTCTAGTCATATATATTCCTGACTGAGACAAAATCCAGACAGGTCTAGGAAAATGGAGGACGCACTTTCCTAATGTAAATCCAAAAGATATCCTAGCTGCACACTATACCAAAGCAAATTACTCCTCACTGTCTTTGGGACCTTTTGGAGAGAACTCTTGCGATGCCTAGACACTTACCGCTCAACCCAAACACCCTATACTTCCAAAACAATCCCAGAATGAAGAAACCACTATCTCATAACAAGTATGCACTTCTCCAAATTCTTCTATTCCTGGTAAAAATCTTTTTTTTTCTCTCTTCCTTGTGAAGAAAAAGGATGGTAATTCCATTTTCTTTAAATTTAAAGATGTTATGTTCACAAAACATTTGGAGTGTTGATTGCTCTAGCATCTTTAATACTGCTAACTTTGTAAGATCCTTAAAGGAACACTGTAGGGTCAGAAACATAAACATGTATTACTGTACCTATAGTGTTAAAACCACCATCTAGCCCCCCTGACATCCCCACAGCACCCCCATACCCTCCTAAACTACCTTTATTGCAGTTTATAGCCAATATCCCTCTGATATGCTTCAGATATGTTCTCTCCATAATGGCACAAGATAAACCAGATAAAGATAAAACCAGCTTGAGATCTGAGCGGGGACCCACCGAAGGGCAGGCTAATATAGCTGTTGTCCGTTCTCACCTCTCTTGCTACTTGTTTTTCTCTCCTTAAGTTTAAAGGGCAATGCAGATGTGGACCCCTTGCTCACGGTGCCTAGAGGGATATTGGCTATACCTCACTGATGATACC